ACCTCTGAATCAAAAGTTACAGGCAAAAAACGATTTCGAAAAAAAATTCAGGGGACTGTCACTTTGGATCTAGTAGTCCAATCTTCAAACTGTTTGTAGTTATTGATTCTACAGGCCAAAATCTATGAGAGCATGTTTTTTCCCGGTCAATTTCAGACAGTTGATTTTTTGGACCCAAAGTATAGGCAAGTGTAGAGCCCAGGGTATAAGCCTTACTTTTCAAAGAAAATTGACTACCCCAAAAATGTTCGGAAAAACACATTTTCCTATTAATTTAGCTTCGTAGATTCCATAACGTCTCGTATTTTGTCGATTGGACCTCTGAATCAAAAGTTATAGGCAAAAAACCAATTTCGAAAAAAAAAATCATTTTTATCTAGTAGCCCAATCTTCAAACTGTTTGAAGTTATGGATTCTACAGGCCAATTACTATAAGAAAATGTTTTTCCGGTCCATTTTAGACAATTCATATTTCCGACCAAATATAGGCAAGTGTATAGCCTTGCTTTTCAACGAAAATCAACTACCCCAAAAATGTTTGGGAAAACATTTTTTCCTATTAATTTATTTTCGTATATTCCAAAAGTCTCGTATTTTGTCGATTGGACTTATCACAGGTTATAGGCAAAAAAACAATTTCGAAAAAAAAATTCAAGGGGCTGTAACGTTTGAGCTAGTAGCGCAATCTCCAAACTGTTTGAAATTTCCCCAGTCGATATCAGACAATTCATTTTTCCGACCCAAAATGTACGCAACTGAGCCTTGCTTTCCCCCTGCTTTTCGCAGAAAATCGACTACCCCAAAAATGTTCGGGAAAACACTTTTTCCTATTAATTTAGCTTCGTAGATTCCAAAACGTCTCGTATTTTGTCGATTGGACCTCTGAATCAAAAGTTATAGGCAAAAAATCAATTTCGAAAAAAATTCAAGAGGCTGCAATTTTTGATCTAGTAGCCCAATCTTCAAACTGTTTGAAGTTATGGATTCTACAGACCAAAATCTATAAAAAAATGTTTTTTCCCGGTCGATTTCAGACAGTTCATTTTTTCGACACAAAATATAGGCAAGCCTTGCTTTTCATCGAAAATCAACTCCCCCAAAAATGTTTGGGAAAGCAATTTTTCCCATTAATTTATCTTCGTATATCCCAAAAGTCTCGTATTTTGTCGATGGGACCTCTGAATCACAGGTTATAGGCAAAAAACTAATTCAAGGGGCTGTAACTTTTGATTTAGTAGCCCAATCTTCAAACTATTGGAAGTTATGGATTCTATAGGCCAAAATCTATAAGAAGATGTTTTTTCCCGGTCGATTTTAGACAATTCATTTTTCCGACCCAAAATATAGGCACTTTTTCCTATTAATTTAGTTTCGTAGATTCCAAATCCTCTCGTATTTTGTCGATTGCACCTCTGAATCACAGGTTATAGGTAATGATCTAGTAGCCCAATCTTCAAACTGTTTAAAGTTATGGATTCTACAGGCCAAAATCTATAAGAAAATGTTTTTTGCTGGTCGATTTCATACAATTCATGTTTCCGAACCAAAAATCGACTACACCAAAAATGTTGGGGAACACTTTTTCCTATTAATTTAGCTTCGTATATTCCAAAACGTCTTATATTTTGTACATTGGACCCCGGAATCATAAGCTATATACAGGGTGGTGACTTGCGTAACGCATCATAGGGATTTCAATGTAAAATTCATAACATGCGATTATTGGCGCCCCAAATTATTTTAGAGCAAAAATGTATTAAGGTTTTTTGTAGAAAAAAATTGTTTACACCAATCAACCGTATTAGTTTTATTTTTTCATAATAAAGACGGAAAATTATAAAAGAAAACCCGCATCTTTTTCAATAATCTGCGATGCCATGGAATTTTCTAAAACAAAAAGTAACCCTTCTGTTATTTTTGATATCACATTTATTGCTTGTAATAGAAAATTTGTTAAATAAAATAAAAGTGTACTCATTAGCCGAGAAAACTGAAATGGTGAAATGGTTTTACGGGGAAAATTGTGCTTCTAGAACACATTGCTCCAGCTGCTGCTGAAGTTGCACGAGGCAACCAAGAACTTTGGTGCTGCACACAACAGACGTGATATGCGAGAATTTTTATCGACAAGTTTTAATAATAAAGTTATCGGTCCAAGATTGGACCTCTGAATCATAAGCTATAGACAAAAAACCAATTTCGAAAAAAAATCCAAGGTGCTGTAACTTTTGATCTAGTGGCTGTTTGCATTTTTGGATTCTACAGGCCTAATTCTATAAGAATATGTTTTTTCGCGATCGATTTCAGACAATTTTTATTCCGACGTAATTTATAGGCAAGACTAGCTTTTGCATTTTCACCAAAAATCGATTACTCTGGAATTGAGCGGGAAAAGGCTTTTTCTTATAAATTTTGGTGCGTAGAATCCAAAACGTTTCGTCTTTTGTCGAATAGGCCTCTACATCAAAAGTTACGGACAAAAAACTAATTTCGAAAAAGCGGGTTGTACCTTTTGATCTAGTAACTTAATCTTCAAACCTTAGCATTTTTGGAATCTACAAGCCAAAATCTATAAGAATAAGTTTTTTCCACGTCTATTTCGGACATGATTTTTCTATCCATCTTTTATTTTACCAAAATTCGACAAAAAATAGATGAACCGGAATGGGCATCTTCTTAGAGATTTTGAGCTATAGAATCTAACACGACCCGAATGTGGAAGGTTGGGCGGCTACATCAAAGATTTCCGTTCGATCTAAAATTTATTGGTTTTTCGTGAAACATTAACAAACTGCCCATAAATCAAAAAATGGTAGATTGCATCCTTAGAATCACAAACGACCATAGTTTTCAAGATTGGACGATTATCGGCTAAAACCGAGGCTAAAACCCATTTGCAAATAACGTGGAAGGGCTACAATTTTTGGTATACTGATCCAGTTTTGAAAATTCTGGTCGTTTACTACGCACGACTGGATGACTTTACCATTGACTTGTTTAGAAATCTCTTGTTTGCTTATAACATGATGTATCCATAATTCAAGGTACGCTTATCTACGTAGGTATTCCCTCTATACAGAGAGATATGGCATTATTCCCGTACTGCAGGCCTGTCCACCCTCCGGACTTTTTTTGGCGATAAAAGAAGAAAGAAGAAAAAGGGTCAATGGCTCTACACTAATTAGCACTAGAATTAACATTTCCACTTCAGTACCTCTACTCTGCTACACCATGGTTTGAAGTCTAGTTTTGTTTATGTAACTACAGCATAGGTACTCAAATACTTATTGTATTGTTACATTGTATTGCACCGTTCTTTATTATATTTACATTCTATTAGTTTGTTTGATTGATGTAAGAAAATTAGTGGAGTTGGGCAGATAATTTCAATTCCCTTACTTTTTTAACAAGAGAATACATTGTATTCTTCACATTTTGTTGGATTGCTACCGCCCAGTCCACAATGCACGTAAAAGTGTTTAAAATTATTGTTCTTGTTTATTGGAATAAATTATCTCACTAGCGATAAAGATAGCAATTGTAACATTAGGTGTATAATGAAAAGCTATTAGGTTTAACACTGTTATGTTTTAATAGAGTCGAATAAAGTTTATCGGAGTTTACATCCTATCGTGTGGATAATAAACACGTTCTTTGTTGTATTGTTCATTCAAATCGAGAAAATAAATTTTAGGTATTTATTTGTTATTTGCATTTAAATGCAGTTTCGCTAAGGAACATAAACGGCTTTTAGATGCACGTATTAAATTATCGACGTAAATACAGCAATGGATGGAAGTGTAAGACTTTTAGAAGATTACGAATAAATACACTTCGTAATTTAAGAATTTGGTTTGGAACGTTCAATTTCTGAGTTTTTTCCGGATTGATCAAACATCATATTTGCATAATTTCTCCTCGGAATATCGGAATTAATGCGTATTGTCTTTAAAAAATACTAGAGTAATTCTTAATACCAAAGTTGGCGTTGGTTTATCTCGTTAAGTGCTGGCGTATAAATTTTCCAACGTTTTTTCCATGATTAAGACCTGTAAACGTGCGTGTTTTTCTAATCTTCGAGGATGCTAAACAGCACGATACCAGTTAGAGAAAATTCGTTTTACATATTTTCGTATAAAAATTATGCTTTGTTCGTAGAAGTTGTTACAAATTGGTCCACCATTCTTTTAGACAAACCTAAAATCAGAAAAGAATATATCAGCATTATAATTTAGCGAGTCATTGATTTGAATAACGAAAAGTGGATGCCGTGCTCATTATACAGCAAACTGTTTCTTAAATCAGATTGCTGTTCAAGTCTTAAAGATTATCTTGGCTCTTTTAAATATCAATTTCAACTGTTCACACCTCATTAAGTTTCAATTTTACAGCTATTGTCCCATCTGGGTTACAGCCTAGGGTAGCATGCATCGGAAGTCCGCGCACGACATGCGCCCCCTTCAACCCCATGACACAATTATTAGCTATTTAACCTGCCCGACAATAACGGAACTGTACTGATGAAATTATTTCAAGTTGTGATTTGTGATTAATAGAACTGGTAATGCGATAACTGTCAACGCATTTCCTTCATTGTCTCATAATTCATCGTTTTGATTATTTTGTATTGCCTGCTGTTTGACGTCTACGGAAACGTACCGTGGAAGCTCACCGACTTCCATATTTATACAATAACGTAAAAGTAATTAGTCTAATACCAAAACTTTTATGCAACTGAAAATATATCGTAATTTTGGCATCATCCACTTTCCCGCCACAACTAGCGGAAATTCAGTTAACCATCTACATCTAGGTTTCCACGATGAAAGCTCCGGCGTTTTCAGGCAGTCGACTGAAAAGTCGGTAAGGGTAGTGTAGAAATTTAGCGTACCTACCGGGCGGTTTCTGTACTGAACGGGGTGTATCTCGGCTAGGCGAGCGTGCTCTTTCAAACTGTAAATTGTTTTTTAAAGGAGGGTGGGTTTGGATTGAAAAAGAGATTCTGTACCAATAGTTTATTATTGATCTGTAGTTATTGTCTTAATAAACGTTGCAAGTTCATCTTGCTTAGGGTAGAACATGCACGTGTACATCACACCAAGTGTAATATTGTATATATTATTTAACAATGCTTTTGTAACAACTTTTCATATACTACAAGTGTTCTATGCTAGTTAACCTTGATTTGATTGTTTAAACGTTTTACTTAGGCAATTGCAACAGAAGTAAACATACATAAACTTAGGCTTTTATTATTATAACTTACTTTAGTAATTAATAAAAAAATAATTACGCTTATAAAGTATTAAAAAACGTGTATGTATAAAGAAGAATTTATCGATATATGGCAGATCATAAACTTAACGTATTTAGAATTTTTCATTTGTAAATACATACAATACAGTACGGCAACGAGCACATATATACCGTAAGTATATACGTGTTAACTATACACTTACATGAATTATATAGGCAATAAAATCAAATGCGGCATTAAGTGATGTTTCAGAGCTGCCACTCGGAAGACGTTGTTCTATGATATTACGAGTATACTTACGTAATACAAAAGTTTCTTTTATTGTTCGCAGTCAAATTATGCTTGACTTCAAGTACCAACATAATAGGGAAGACTTTACTGATAATGACAATGATATGCAACAGAGAATTGGCGACTAGTACGCCCATGATCTGTTCATTCGTAAATTTCCTTAACAAAATTGTGTAAATATTATCGATAGGAAGACATGTGATAGGCCAAAGTATATTTTTGGTAACTAGCAAAATTTCCAATAGTTACTCCTGGTTCATTTCTTTCAGTTAAACGGCAACTAACTTTTAAAAATATATAAGGAATGGCTTTTGTAAGGAATACAAAATAAAGACAATTTTCACTGTCGACACAGGCAGTACAATGAAATAAGTCCAACTGTGATGGGATCACCGATTGAAAAGCCGACTCCAGAATGGGAATGTAAAATCCATAGCGGCGTTCTAGTAGAAATCGGTGTGACTGTCTGTGAGGCAACTGGGGTTTGCAATTCCGGCAATGCTGCCGTAGTCGCTTCTTGATCCTCCTCCGTGTCTCCATACTCCGATGCTTCTTTTCTGCCTTTCGGACGCTTCCACTTCTTTGACTTCTCTTTGTGTTGCTGCTTTCGAGATTTAACGTCGATATACTTCGGCGTGCTGGCGGTGCTGGTCGATTTCACCGTTAGATGCAATTCTAAAAGAAAATAATCGGAATTAATACGGCAGGGGGATAAAAACGGATTCGAGAGAAGGTCGTCGACGGAAAACGGTTACAGTGAATTTGTCTATTTTATATTGAAAATGTGTCGCCGTAATCGATAAAAGGAATAGTCAGATGTCACATATGAAAAGAATTTCGAAATGCATTATATCCGATATGCTTGTTTTACGTGAATTTTTATCACCCCGTTATTATTCATCGACTTCCCACATTGGTTATTTTTATCTAATTAAGAAGTGATGACACTTTTCGCAGTCATGCTGTTGTGACGATAAAATTAAACGAGCGGGACATATCTGTTGATTTAATACGAAACTAGTAGCATATTAGCAGAGAATTTATTACTGTTGCTATTTGCTGTTTTAAAATATGAAACATCCACTAGGGGCAAAAAAGCGTCGCATGTCGGATTTATTATCAAATGCAGCAGGAGTGCACAATAATTTGCATGGAATAGGTGCTAATGCCGGATTTCCCCTCACCCTGTTCTATATTTTATTTCTTTTCGCTACAACTCCCAAGGAGTAATCGTCTGGGAATACGCACCTCTTATTTCCTTCACCTGGAAGATTTGTATCCATCCCTGAGGTTGGGACAACGAATGACTATTAATCAAAGTCGATTAGGAAAACACCCAAACGAATTTTATAAAGCTCAGAGATGCCGAATTCGGTATTCTCGCATCCATCTCGTTGAGGCAACAAATTTGACAAAGAGATCTTTGATTCGTTTTCTCCACGCAAATCGTAAAGTGACTTTTGATAGCATACGCCACAGTATAAGAAACTTAGTACCTGTAGATAACGCTTTTGACCCTTAGCAGAATGCCGATACATGAACTGATCGTAACATAACTCAGTTTTCTCATTGGTGATTGGTAGTGGAGATCAGCATTTTATCAAAGATAGAGCGGAAATGCGATAAAAACAGGATACATGCGTTTGCAGCTGAAGGAACTTGATCGGTCTAACGGTTTCAGCACTTTGCGTCAGCCGGTAAACAACATATCTGCCGAACAACGAGCTAAATGCGTAGTTTACCGAAAAAAATACCCTTGTCATAGCGTAATTTTTCTCACTTCTGCCAGCTGTTCAAGCTACAATCTTTCTATGAATTTTAGAGACGAAACAGTCTATATAGTTTGGTAGTTTGTCCACCTTAATATAATGACAATGGTGTAATTGGTCATACTTACGCTAGCTATCAAGGCTATAATCGCTCAATGAATTTTAGAGACAGGGCTATAGCGATTAGTTGGCAAATCGGAACCAGATCATTCAAAACCGGTGAACTCTTTAGCGATTCTTGAAGTCAAAGAATTTAGAATAACTTGAAGATGGAGGGGGTGGGGTACGGAATATCACTCCTGGAATGCGGGAACAGGAAAGGTGAATTCTCGTCGATATCGAAAAGATGGTAGTTACACTTCCCTCCGAATGATAGGCTAGACGCCCTTTAAAAAAAGACAGATGAAAATACGGGTGAGTTAACCGGCGGAAGACGACTGCTCCTGGCGGAGAGGCGAAAAACACCAACAGAAGGGAACCGAAGTAGAGGAGATGATGATAATTCTCGGTCCACGTTTGGGAGAAGAGTACGTACCTCAATCATAGGTGTAACCTTCGCCAACACAATCATAGCAAGCCAAATCACTAACTGAAAGGTGGAGGAAGAGCACTCCCTCAGCGACCACCATTATATTACCTGGATGGTGGACGGCAGAAACCGAAGGCTCCCAATAACCAACAAGAGGCCACATAGGATGGCAGGAACATAAACGGGAAAACAGATTAGGGGGATACTGGAAAAGGAAACACGTTCTGGAGCAGCTGCTTACAAAACGCACAGACGAGTAGAGTTAAAAAATGAGCAACACACTCGTGGGATCAAGAAGTGTCCGCGGAGAGGAAAAGGTGAATGGAAACCAGGAGGCGGACTATTAGAGCAACGCAAGGTGAAGTCGATCAAGCTTTGGCAGAGGAGCATCCAGATAGGAAAAAGGTGTATAAAAAAATGACAGATGTGCGGGGTAAAGCGCAGGAAAGCTTGGACGCAGGGAGAGAGTGGGGGTAAAATAAAAACATGAAGCCTTATTTCCCCTGCGTGAGTACGAAAGAGAGAGAGGGGAAGGTCAATTCTCAGGGGCAGACATAGTACAGAACCAAGAAATAATCCAGACGGCAAAAAAATGCCAAAACGAAAAGCGTGACGCCCAGATGATTTCCCGGCTGAATTATGGACGATCATGGCGTCGAGACTGGAGGAAGAGGTTATGTTGTCCTTGGAGCAACATGGTTTTCGCAAAGGTAAAGGAACAAAGGAAGCGCGTAGACGCATTCAGTCCCTAGTGGAGTACTAGAGAGCCGGGAAGTAGCGTGGTGGCTTCACTATGCCTGATTAGGTTGTCTCATCGCTACCATCGCGAGCATGGCGGATTCCCGGAGGGGTACCACAAGGCTCGGTATTGGGACCACTTTTATGGAATATTGCTTAGGACGCTGTGCTGAAGCTAACCGTGCCGACGCGAATAGTCGCGGCCAACCGAGGCTTCGGAAAAGCAATACTGAATACGAATGAAGCCGCGAAGAGGATAAACAGGTGGATGAGGCTCCAATGATGACGGGAAAGAGGAGACTCCCCCTGCCAGCATACGGGAGGGAGGAGTTGAGATCCCGCTAGAAAGGACAATCGACATACTAGGGGTCAGACTAGAATAGAAGCTTGGAATATATTAGACATATCTAAAAAGCAATAGGAACGGCAGAGAAAGCAACGGAAGTGATTCTGGAATTATGGTAACCCCCCAAGAGAGCAAAGGAAGGGTCCTAGCATCGGTCGTTAACAACGTGGTACTATAGGGACTATGGTACTATGGGGCAGGGTCACAAAATTTGAATTTACTAAACGCAATTTAGACGCTCATCGCACAGTAACGAATAAAGATCTGTTTCTAATATCGAGCACTATACCCTTAAGATTATTGGTAGAGGAGAGGAGTGGATCCCGAACGAGGAGAAAAATATTAAAATAATAGGGCACCGCACCCACCACACGTGACCAAAAAAATTCTTGCATCTGGGGATCTTTGAACAGGAAATGACGGATTGAAAATTTTAAAAAAATCAACTGTAATACTGGCCCGACAACGGAAATTGCTTCAACGCAGTGGGAGCAGAAGATAAGAAAATTACAGTACACGAAAAAAATCTGTCATGGACCTACACTTAATTTGGACATACGTAAAAACTCTCAGGGAAAACGGGGTTTTGAAGCAACTTTGTCAAGCAACGTTCACACTTAGAAAATGATCAGGATCACAATATAAGTTGCGAAATACGAATAATGCTTAAAATAAGAACACGAATGATTGCATTTATGGATAGAGAGATCAACTCGTATATTTCAACTATATTACTTCTGCCAATGTACCGGGTGACCCAATAACACTGTTCCTCGGCCATGTCTCGGGAACCGTTCGTCGTATGACTTAGGGGTAAAAAAAATTATTGGCTAAATCGGTTATGAAGAATCGCTGGAAAATATTTTCAAGTCCTAAAAATCACCACCAGAGGGCACAACTGCCATCTTAAATTTTAAAATTGCATTTTCTTTAAATTTCGCATAATAAACTAATCATTCTTTTTTCACATTTTTAAAGAGAACCAGTTTATCTATTTTCTTAAAAACAAAAACTCGGGTATTTCAAAAACAAAGATGGAGTGGGGCGTTCAATTGGTTTTTGCAATAACCTGCTATAACTTCTTAACCGTTTGACCGATTGTAACAAATTTGGTTCCTTGGGCAACAAGAATCAACCAGAATATAGTTAATTTAGTTGAATCCTTCTCCGCCAAGGGGCTAGTTTGGACACTATGGCCCAAAATCCTAAATCCTTTTCTTTATGAAAAAGTAGCGAAATAACATCCAAAAAGGACAGTGAAAACCGTTTTCCAAAATCTCGTTCCTAACCTCAAATATTGGGAAAATGAGATTAATTTATTAATTAATAAAAATGCTTAAATTGTATCTTATTTGACGAATTTCCGGTATTTGTCGATGGCGCGAAAGATTGTTTGGAAAAGGACCCTACACTTTTAGGTAGGCTTTGGAAAATTAAACAAATGAAACACGATGCATTATAAAATAATAACAGCCGTAATTTGTAAATTATTCTGCTGTGTTTACATTTAGAAAGTGCAGTTTTTTGAATTTGTAATCTTTTCTAAAATGCCGATTTCTAACCAAGAAGCATTTAATAAATGCTGGCGATATATTTTGAGTATTTTCAAAATGCGACCATCGCTGCCCGCATCTTCTATTTGCGTTATCCGAATCGACCATGAACCATCGCCGCCAGCATATTAAATGCTTCTTGGTTAGAAATCGGCATTTTAGAAAAGATTACAAATTCAAAAAACTGCACTTTCTGAATGTAAACACAGCAGAATAATTTACAAATTACGGCTGCTATTATTTTATAATGCATCGTGTTTCATTTGTTTAATTTTCCAAGGCCTACCTAAAAGTGTAGGGTGCTTTTCTTTCGCGCCATCGACAAATACCGGAAATACGTAAAAAGTAAATTTAAGATACAATTTAAGCATTTTAATTAATTAATTAATTAATTAATCTCGTTTTCCTAATATTTGATCAGGTTAGGAACGAAATTTTGAAAAACGATTTTCACTGGGCTCTTTGTATGTTATTTGGCTACTTTTTCATATAGAAATTCCATTCCATTTGATTTTTTTGATTTTTTTAGGATTTCAGGTCATAGTGTCAAAACTAGCCCCCTGGCGGAGAAGGATTCAACTAAATTAACTATATTTTGGTTGATTCTGATTGCTCTATTCAACCATACCAAATTTTTTAAATTGTTCAAACGGTTAAAAAGTTAAAGCAGGTTATTGCAAAAACCAATTGAACGCCCCACACCATCTTTGTTTTTGAAATAACTGAGTTTCTGTTTTTACGAAAATGATAGACAAACTGATTCTCTTTAAAAATGTAAATTTTTTTTAGTTTATTATGCGAAATTTAAGGAAAATGCAATTTTAAAATTTAAGATGGCAGTTACACCCTCTGTTGGTCATTTTTAGAACTTGAAAATATTTTCCAACGATTCTTCATGACCGATTTACCCAATAATTTTTTTTACCCCTAAGTCATATGACGAACGGTTCTCGAGATATGGCCGAGGAACAGTCTTATTGGGTCACCCGGTACATTGGCATATGTAATATAGTTGAAATATACGAGTTGATCTCTCTATACATATATTTGTGCCACTGTTACTTGCCGGTAACAGAAAAGGAGGGATAATTCCAGATGTTGTGAGAAGTTCAGCGTTTTTGCAATAGATGGTGCCATTTCGACATGAAGCCGGAGCATAAAATCTGGCGCGTATTATTAATTATTACAGCAAATATACTGCACCAATATAGACAACGAGCGACAAAGTCACTTCCGGTTAACGAATATTGACCAAAATTTCATCAATTAGTCCCTTGACCATTGTCTACCTATTGCTAAAAACAGAATTGGAAAATTCAAAACCGTTACTAAGTCAGTGATTTCCGTAAGGGAAGTAAAAAACGGAAACAGAGTTTGGACGTATTCGACTCGCCTGTGCAAGGTGTAGGAATGTCGAGAGTTGATTACGAGAACTTACGCCGCCACATTGTTCGTGTAGTTAAGCGATTTGACGGTACAGGAAGTGCTGCTTGAGGAAAGTCCCCTGCTCGGCCAACCGTTGCTAACGAGATGTGCGTGCTCGTCTTGAACAAAGCACGCAAAAGTTACTGCGACAGCTATTCCAACAAATTGGTTTGTCCGAAAACATGAAGAAGAGAGTGGATTTGTGTCAACCACTTCGACCATTTATTTACGTCGAACATATATTGTAATTCGCAACTGATACTCATTATTCAATTTGTAAAAGAAAGTAAATCACGTTTCGGTTACAAAATAATGCAATTTCAAATAATTTGGACACTAATAAATGCTTGTGCTTTTAATAAACATTTTTAGGTTATGTTTAGTATCGCTACAGTGTCGTTTGCGTTGTGGCAAATGTCATGTTTTTATAAGAGTGGCATAAGCCGTGGTTAATGATCGCTCTGTACTTAAAATTCTCTACAAGAATACGCAACAAAATTATTAAACAATTAAAAAAAATGTCTCTTTGTAGAACGGACTGTATTGTATATATCATGTTATGTAGTCACAGGTCACTAATAACGCCTTAAGCACTTTAATACTACTATAACTTAAAAAGTGCTTACTCTATAAAAAGATTATAAGCTGAAAATTATAAAAATGAAGGTAAAGTTTACAATGTAACTTCGGTTACTAATTTAACGAAATGATTAGAATAAAAGATAGTAGTAACTTTGTTTATATTGTGTTATTTCGTATGTTTCTTGACTTCTTACTGAATCTCCTGTGTAGTCAACGCGTAAGTGGAGTTGGATGGTTGGTGCAACGTAAAACGTAACTTTATACTCGTATACTGAATTTATGGTGGTTTATGCTATTAAGCAATTACTCAGCATCGAAACAATACAAACATCGTCCTATGTGTTCTATTTCCACTGAAAAACCTATTTCTATGGAATATATTCTGAGAACACTTTATGAAATTACTGAATTAGTCATAAAGTTCCGAAGTCAGTTATTTCAAATCTTGGGCAGTAGGAGTAGGTCTCGAATATATGTCGTATGTTATTATTTTCAATAATCTTTCTTTGTTCTATTCATACGGATGCCCCTCATTTCTATATTTTACGTAAGTAATCGATTAAATCAAAATAAAGAACGACCGAAATCAAGGGACCGAACGTAACAACCCTACATTCTTCCATACGTCCAATGTAGACGGCGCGGTGGGGTATAACATACAATTTTTATCTAATGTAATTTTTATGTTATTACATCGGAAAGTCTACCTTGTTTCGGAAGCAATCGACTAGTAAGTGAATTATCAATAATGACGTACCTTGTAAACGCACGACACCTTCTGCTTTCCCTAGGGGGTTGGATGAAGTACAAACGTAGTTGCCAAAATCCTTCCTTTCTAGAGAGCGTATCGTTAAATTCATAAGAAGGGAGTAATCGTTTAAAGCGGTTTCGGTCATCATGTACTTATCGCTAGGCGGAAGTTTTTCACCTGAAAAAGAAAATAAAACACTGAAAATGCGGATAACAATAATGTAGTTTCAATGGCGACTAAAAGTTAGTTAAGGTCAAAGTGATATATGAATTATCCGAAGGGTAAGTTTAAAGGTGCGGGCATAAGGTGTCTAAAGCTCAGCTTTCCAACATCGTATAGAGATATATACGGGACTATCTGTTAAGCCGGTCAGGAATCTCACGGGAGCAGTGCCTGCCTACCAGTTTCATCCCGCATCCAATGGTTCATTGCGCGAGGAGACGCTTCAACGTAACACTGAACGACAACATCGCTGGACATCGGTGCGGCGACCAATTGGTTCGACACTCGAATTAGGGGATGAACTATAAATAAACACTAAACAATCTAAATTTAAAGTACAGATCAACTTACAGTGAACTTTTACGACAAATCGTTTACTAACCGAGGGAGGAACGTTGTTGCTCGCTATACATAAATAAGGGCCCATATCTGATCGTTGAATATTGTTAAGAACTAAAGTATCCCCATCGTAGGATCGAAGCACTGCAAATAATAGCAATAAGAGTATTGAACAGTATCAAGCTATAAGATAAAACAGGCCACAGTATATTATCAAGTGTCAGTTGCAGTAACACCCAGTCTTATACACGTATATAAAATGTTAGGCGGCCCATACATAGCAATATTTCAAAATGCCAAGAAATAACGTCGAGTCGTGCCAATGCGGGCTATTGCTGCCGGCTCGCGGAGCGTCGCGACCACCATTCAACCAATCGAAAGAATAAAGACAAATGCTTAGCGTGGAACACTGCTGGATATAAATGCCAGTTGCATTTACGGCTTGATGGAACGCGCGACTGAGTTTTCACAAAATCCGGAGGGGACGTTTATAATAATAATCTTTCAAGAAGTAGTTTTCTCCTTTCGTTCCGGAACTCGCGGAAACAAATGTTTAATGCTCGGACACGTGTACAACAAAGCTCAACACACCTTTAAGACTGTACTGCAGCGAGCACTTTGAGATAATAACCGATTTGAAATTTAAATTAGAAAGGATTTATTGTAACCGAAATGCAGCAGCAAGAGAGTTGTCAGAACTACCGATAGGCGAGAAACTTGAATTTTTCATTGCACATATACAGTAGCAGTGGAATGCAAATCGGGATTCGACGGAGATCCGGATTAGGCACAAGGCGCACCAGCTGCTCTCAAACTCAATGAGATATTATTTCAGCGAACGTAAATAAATTGTTTTCTTCGGTTTCCTATCGATTTCTGTGGTAGGCGTTCCTACCTTGCTTTTCGCGACCTCCCTCGTGGCGGAGCACTAGGTTCCGGCTATCTTCTCGTCTCCACAAAACAGAAGGCTCCGGGACACCAGTAGCGTGGCACCTAAGCTTCACGGTGCCCCCTTCGACGGCCATTCCGCCACCGCTTTCCGTCGACTCATTATCGTTGAGGATATCAGGCGGGATGACCACCTCGAGGTTCCCCATCTGTAAACAACCGCGGCTAAGCCACAAACGCTAAAATACTGCTTCAAGCTTAACTAGGAAATGATAAATAGCACCGCAATGTACCTGGCTTCGCATGGGGTCCGTGTTAATCTGGCACATGTAGGTTCCAGAGTCATTCTTCTGAACATTAGACACGTGTAGCATCCACGTATTGTGCCCGTTGTGCGTAACTGATAGACGAGGATTTTGCGCTACCATGTGGGTGTGAATTGCCAAAATCGCTTTTGAATCTGATTTAATCCAAGCCACCTGAAACTCAATTAAATTAGATTCGACTTTCAAATATATTCGCCTACAAATGCACAGTCAAGTCGTAGCGTATCGTCGCGAACTTTTCTATATAATTCCATTTACGGTGTTTGGCGAGTGTGGTGCCGCAGGCCTCGAATGAGTTTATACACTGTGATTTTATTACCAGCGGAGTTGGTCTGAAAAGTAGTAGGTAACAAACTCAATAAGCGCGAGATGCACGTCTGATTGGATGTCTTTGTGTTACCTCCGGGGCTGTCGTACAATGTAATCAATGCGTATAGGTCGCAATAGTAAATGAAATAACCGAGCGATAGAATCGCTTTTGTTGTCATTTTTCGACATTCGATGTAACCGAATTTGGTTACAAATTTTGCTCTTTTCAACCGAAACACGCGCGCACATTTAAATACATACCTCTCCGCTTTATAAGCACATATTATACCTATCTTGAAATGAATCCTGTAGATCGGACAAAAGCTATATACGAACCACATTTCTTCTCTCTAAGTATTTTGGGCTCGGGCCAGGGACGCAAGTGTCAGCACCGATATCGCGTAATATGTTAACTCATAGCGTGTGCGGCAGTTTCTCGGGTTCATTGTCATAAAAACTAGCGGAGATATGCTGGAGTCAGCCAGCAATAAACGTCAGTTTGCAGATGCTGCCACTTGGTAATACCTTGTAAGTAGATAGGTGGTTGACGATGCAGGTAAAGTAGACGTCGCGCCCTTGTGTCACAGTATGATTTTCAAGCGGTGCTAGAAATTCGGGCTCGAGCTCGGTCACCTGACCTGCAACAGAGCGAGAGATAACTGCTTAGACTTGCTAACGGAATAAGTGAAGTGAAACTAAAGATATTCTTGGGAATATTCCGCTGAAAGCGAGCCGCGAACGTGTCCGGCGTACAAGATCTTTCGCGGCGCAAGAATTCAAATACTCGGGATGTCACATTCTGCAAATGAGACTGATTTACATTGGAATGCTGTTTATTAAATATTTAACCCGACAGTCTAAGTCTTCAGGTAGAAATGGGCCTATAGAAGACGCTTCAATGGAAGTCACTATCGGTCCGATGTGCAACTCCACAGATGTGGTTTAAATAACGGCGACTGATAGCATTCAGACCGTGCCAACCCCTCTGTATCGCAACGCGTTCTCCTCTCACCCTCTGTAGCTCTCGGGAAACGTCACTTCTGGCACAGTAAATCGCAAAATCATTCGACTGAGTGCTTTGTGAAAAGCTCTAGTTGTAAAGTCGCGTTTAGCCTGCGCTTTGCTCGAATAACTCGCTGTTACCGAAGGAGACCTTTACTTACAGCGACGGAATATACAATAATGCTAGTGCGATTATTAAAATAAGACAAACACTGCATCTTAAAACAGAAATTAGCATTACTCCGAAATTAAATCGCCAAGAGCAAGGGAGAGAGAAGAGTTGAATGCGATTATTGACCTATTCAAAGGGGCGTACTCTTGATAAGCAGCAGCTCTCTCAAAAACTGATTAAATCCGAATCATCCATTTAAATCTAAAACATATGAAACATACGCATCCTCTTTTAAAGCTATATTGATTTCAGAATCCGGAGGAAAGGCAAATCCCTATTATTTCTTTAACTCTATCATCATTCCCGGCGAATGGCGCGGCACTCAAGCCTTCCATTTTCTAGAGCCGACAAGCTGAAAATCTGCAATGAATTTGGATACACTGGCGGAGGAGCGCCGAACGAAACCATTAAAGGTCAGCGATTGCACAAGTATTCAAAATCGAGGGTTTAATTAAAATTCTATCTACAAAAATATCGCCATAAGTCCCGTATAGGTTAGTAGCGTCAGAGTGTAGCAATATTTGTGACTTAATATAAAACGCCTTTTCTTTGTATTATAGCTGCGGTGATAAAATTTTCGGCTGATATGAAACTCCTGATCGCAAGTTAGAGTAAATGTTTAGCAAACATGTTCTGTATGAGTAATATTAAATTCCTAAAATATTAGGATACCCGACATCAGCTAACACTCCATCGGGTTGGGTTCCAGTAAGCATACAACTATTTACTCGCAACCTGCAAGAATGCGCGTTGGTGTATATTTTCTCTAAAGAATGACGACTTCCGGAGACGCAAGTGAACGGTTCAAATAATTCAGTGTCGCCATGGCGAAATCAACAAATTAGTATTGCAGTTACTCCGACATTGTTAATCCCGGATTAGTCGCGGCTTTAACGTGCAGCCACAGCAATGGCGTCCGATCGTGCCTCGTTTTAAGCGTTTGTAACGTACATCTAGTGATGAACTTAAAGTTCATTATGCCAGATTTGATGGAGTACATTTAAATGAGCAGCGCGCAGATACTAATTGAGTGCCCTTAATTAGCAGTCATAGCTGAAACTATCGAACACCCTTATGGGAGTGTTGTTTTGCGAGTGGCATTGTGAAGGTCCAGTTACTGTCAAAGATAACTTGAAAGTTTGGTCTGTCCCACTTCAACGTTAAGCATTTCATACTTGTTGATTCTGTATGCATCGGCTACGAGAATTAACGAGCTGGCAAGGGGTTCATCCGGTAAGAAACCGATAGACACAAATAGAGTCGCCGGCTTCTACTACTTTAGCCCTAATACTCGCTAGCAATGAGTGTCTACCGTGAAAGTTTGCCTACTGCTATTATTTGAATCGCTAGCCTGAACTAAACCGAGACTCAATTTACTGGCGGATTAAGACACTCGTAGCTATTTACTAACCCCGTCGAACAAGCGCCGTTACGGTTCTTAATAAACGAAGGCTATGTCATTGTCTCGCGTCATTAAACGCGAACTGCTCGATGCCGGGACTATGGAGCTTACGTACACAGTGTTTTTGAGTGAACTGCAATCGTGCGCAGGATTTCAAACAGTACAGGTTTAAGGGACTCTGTTGTGCGGAACTCTTGTAAGCAATGTCAACAAAGCTGTATAATACTCTCCAGAAAGCAGACCTTTTCTCTTAATAAACCTGGCTAATACTATAGAAAAGTGAAACGTTTCTCGAACTTGTTTGTTAAGAAACTCCAGAGCTCGTCGGTTACTTACCGTTGAATGAGCTGGTAAATTGAAGGAATATGTGTCGCGATAATTAATATTGTCAACATAAAATGACGTGTAGAGAGCGCTTCAAAGTACGGAAAACCGGGAGGAAATGTGTCTGTTGAAAGATAAGCCCCAAATTAACTTCCTTAATTTGCTGTTTGCCCAGAGCAACCTTATTTCTCTAAACATACAGATTAATACTTATTTCGATATTGGCTGACAGTTCGAAATATTTCACGAACGAAATTTCCTTTGTAGTTAAAGATGTTTATTGCGAACTTTACGATTGACCCTCCTATTGATTATAACATAACTTCTTACTGTATAATTAGACGGTTCATTTACAAAGCGTAAAATTAAAAGGCAATTTAAAGAATATAATGAATTTACATATTTCTAAATGGAAAGGCAAGTGTGCCCTTCCGGGGGTATGGTTCCGTCAGTTGTGAGTTATTGATGCCAATACAACTCGTTTCTATTAATTTAATGAGTTCGTTCAAAAAGAGTAACCGTTTAATTAATTTCTTGTGGCTATACACCTCATTGAGCGTTAATTGGAATCTGCTATGTACTAACAACTGTCCCTTTATAACGTTATGAAAAAAAATAATTATTAGAGTCGGCTAATCGAGCTGGACCAGATGAAGGGTGTCTGCGAACACTGACCAACAAAACCGTATCCGAATGCATTTCTTAAATTCCACCTCACCGCTTTTTACACATTTTTAACGTACAAATAAATCAGTTCGATTGGTAGATGATCGAAACATGAGATTGTGCTGTTAATGCTCGCCGTCACTATAGATTTTCTAGAACAATTACCCAAGGTTAGAAATAATATGTTTTCAACCAGTAGCAATTTTTTCTTATTAGTTTCAATGCATATTTACAATCTACCCGTATATTAACATAAATCGTATAACAAGGATAATGGTTTGAGGTAGATCCATTCATTAATGCTACTCCCAAATAAAAGGATTAAACCTGGTTGGGCTGAGGTATGAGATCGTGTGTGCACTGGCGTTTTAGTTTTTTTGGTATCATACTTCTTCGACTATTTGATTCACAAGGTGGTTTTCATGTCCTAGTAATCTTCCGATTTCGGTGGTCTTCATGCAAGGTCTAGTTATTGACGTACCAAGGAGCGTTTGTCGTACCAGTTCTGGAGAAGATCAGATTCTGGAGGCTTTCAGATGCCTATAATGGGTCATCGCTGGTAAATAGAACGGCTGTATCGTCAGAAAACGTAGCCACATCGGTATTGGGTGTAGTTGGAACGTTTTCAGTTAATACTAAATACAATAGGGGATCCAGCACGCTTCCTTGCGATACTCCAGCAGAAATGTGTTGGTAATTCGAAAACGAATTGTTTATTCAGACTTGAAAGTCAGTAAGAGATAAATTTGACTTAATAAACCCATAAGCCATACTCTGTCAAACGTTTGCTTAATATCCAAGAAAGCTGCTGTGCAGATGAGTCCATGTTACCATCCTGTGGGTTTGTTCAACTGTGCTTTCTAAAACCAAATTGGTGTATTGGAATGATTTCATGTAGGTCAACAGTCTCTTCTATTCTTATTAAGAATAGTGTTTCAAATATTTTCGATGTTAGTGGGAGAAGGTTTATAGGTCTATATGAAGTTGGTTCTGTTGGTGGTTTGCCAGGCTTGGCTATGACTATAACTACAGCAATTTCTACTGGAGAGGAAAATATAACATAGACGTAACATGCTATTATGGGTGGTAGTGAGTACTAATGTTTTCCTGGGAAGATGATAGAAAATTTGTCCTGTTATAAGGTCGTAACCGAGAGATATATTAGCTTTGGTGTATTTGATTTCTTGTTTTACTTCAACAGGAGATCGGCAGGATCAGTTGGCATCGGGTATAGATTTCTAATTCTTGTTGGTTGTGGTTGTTATTGTAAATACCTGTGCAAGGTGATCTGCGAAAACGTTTACCTTGTCAGAGTCAGTGCTGGCCCATGTTCTGCCGCCTTTTCTGATTGTTGGCACTGCAATTCTAGGTCTTGTTCGATAGATGGGTTAAGTAATATTTGAATGTTTCATTTCGCGAATTTCTAAGTGGCTTCTGAAGATCATCATTTGGGCAATCATTTGCCTTGCAAAATCCCATCTATATTAGAACCTACAGGACTAAATAGAGAAGATGGCAAACATGTGGACAATATGTCACTCATTCTTGGTGTCAAGGTCAAATCCTTATCTGGGATGTTACTTGTTCCGACACCCTTGCTGATTCATACATTTCTTATTCTTCCTCCCTGGCTGGCTCAGTAGCTTCTGTATCAGCTCAAAAGAAAAAAAAAACAAATAAGAATCTCATTAATCAGAATTTCTATCTTATCCCCTTCGTCGTGTAGAAACCTTAGGTCCTTGGAATTTTGAAGCGATAAAATTTGTGCATTATTTAGGGAAACTAATCTCTAAAGTCACTGGCGAACTTCGTGTAAAAACTTTTTTTTAAACAGAAAATTAGTATCGCAATACAACGTGGAAACGCAGCTTGTCCAATGGGCACTTTTTTCAAACATCTTCAATGGAAGGATTGATATTTTATAAATTGTTAACCCCTTTAACGTACAAATAAAATATAAATAAACAATGTACAAAGATTGAGAAATCATATGATCTAATAGTTAGGCCGACACTTTTTTTACTAATTTGATGATGCTGATAGCAACTGGAGTTTGCTCTTAGCTTAGAAGT